GTATCAACTTAAGCAAGGAAGGAAACGCCCCCAACGGCTCACTGGCCACATCCAGGTGGCAGTGGAGAGCCGGAGGACTCTCATTTCTTTTAATTTTTTGAATTATATAAAGTAAAAAGTGGTGGGATTATGGATATTTTCCAAATAATTGAAATTTTATGCTCAGTAGAAAACCATTTTGATAAGGAAAGTTAAAAGTGTGTATCTATGTGTATGGTATTGTACACAGGCAAAAAGCCAGGGAAGGTTCACAGAGTAAAGTTAACACACTAACTGCAGTTCATCACCTCTCTCCTGGGACCTGGCGGGGTGGGTGAGGTGGGCACATGGACCTTTCCCTATTGGCTTCATCTGCCTCTCCCCCAATGAGCAGGTGGTGCTTTCCCAAACAGAGAGCTTGGCAGGCCCATGACGGTGTGAACAGGATGGACAGGTGGTCCATGGAATCATTTGCTCAGGTCTTCTCAGGTTTTTAAACACCATACTGGGCAAACCAAACATGTCTTTGGACTGTGGCTGACCTCTGGTCCGCAGGAGTGGGCCCAAGCTGCAGGGATCACACATCCCAAACACAGGCACCTGTGGGCTGCAGCTACTCCAGGTCCCAGGATCGGGTGGACACTGCTTCCCCACGTATCTCCGGGCCCAAGACGGCAGAAACAAGTAAGGCAAACTGTTTCCCTTTACAAAATTTGTAAGGCTTAACCTAATAAGCCTAATACTCTGGGCACTTATTCGAAAGCATGAATTTAATGCAAAATGTATTTAAGAGATATTAAGAGTGCCTTTATTGGGCTGTCGAAAAAGTCATGACACATGTTTGTGACAAATGGCACTAGTTCATTTTTGGAAGTACTAGTGTCATTTGCATCTAAGTTATCGCTAAATCATTTGACAACTGACAGTTCTAGCTTCATTTAAAAAAAAATTGAGTGATTTGGTTGAGTTTTGGAGATTTTACAACAAGTTGAAGATGGAAGACCAAACTGCATTTTTGCCATATTTTACTGTTTTATTGGATTGTCGGAAAAGTCATGATGTATTTTATCTATGTTTTTTGTTTCAAAAATGCGTCATGACTTTTC